AAGCAAAGCAAAAAATCAAATTCAGTAAAACCATTTTCTAACAAGAGACATATTTTACTCATTAATTAAAATCAAAACCAGATAAGAGACGACAAACTACAGCTTTGAATAACATGACAGAAATAGAAAGATATGCAGAGTCAGAAATAGTTAGGACTACAGAGAAAAGAAACAGAACAAGAGAAATAAGCAAAAGTGCCACAGACATAAGAAAAGCTACTAACATAGAGCCTATGAATCCCACATCAGAAGTCCCTTATTTACTAATATTTACTAAGAAATGTAAATGTCTCTTTGTGTCTTTTCAAATTAATATCCATTTAATTAAATTTCTTGATAAATCTTAGTGGTACTGTGTGATAATTTAATTGGTAAAAAGAGCTAAAAACCAATTTTGCTCTTAGGAGCATTTAGGTTTTCACAAACTTTTAAAACTTCCTATCTCTTAAGGAATAGGAATACAAGACCATAAACTTCAGTCCAGAGTCTGCACACATTTTCAAGTTATTTCTAGGAATACTGCCTTTTAACTTTTAATTGAAGTTTAGAGCCTTTAGAGTTTAGAAAAACTATCATCAAGCTGGCAGAGTGGCTCAAGTGGTAGAACGCCTGCCTAGCAAGCATGATGCCCTAAGTTCAAACCCCAGTAGCACCAAAAACAAAGGAACAAAAGGAACCTAGAAAAACTGTCATTAAAACAATGCTATACTGATGTTTACTTCTCGCCAATGTCAAACAAAAACACAGACTTGCTAAACCATACCCCAACTGCTTCAGAATATTCTCAACTTACACTATGTGCTTCAATAAAATATTAAAATGTAAATACTTTCCCCCAGCTACTTAAGTTATATAATAATTATTCAGCTGAAGTATGAATAACTGATGCTGTTTATAAAGAATGTAAATAACAAAAACTTAAGACCTAGAATTTAGGTTTTGTGTTCTTTTTAAAGGAATAAAGTTGTCTTGTTCATAATTTTCTCTGTAACATTGTCATTAGCTTCTTTTCCTGGGGTAGGGGAGAAAGGAGAAGGAGAAAGGGAAAGGGAGGAAAGAGAGGAAGAGTTGGAGGGAAGGGGGGGTGAGGAGGAGAAAGAGAGAGGGAAGAAACACAGGCTTTTTAAAACAAATGCTTTTTAAGATATTTTTAAAGATAAAACGGGGAGGAGAAGTGCAAGGAACATATAATGTCTACTAAATTTTATGTCCTATGTTAACCTCTTTGCAAACATCCTATCACTTATCATATACTTGTATGTCTTATAAGAAATAAAAACAAATCCATTGCTTTTATCACTCTGATCCTCTATTAAGAGGAAAGCTGGCAATAAAAGTAAAGAATTTCATTAGTTTTTCTGAAGAATACCACTAGCAAGCTGAGAATCCATTTATAAGATTCCAAAATGAAATAGATTAAGAAATTACATAAGCATAAAATAACTAAGTATCTTTATGTCAATTCTCAATTTCAAACCTTTTAATTTGTTTAAAAATCTGGATGGTCCTAAAATAAAGTATAAGAAATTTTTTTAGGTATAAGTCATGGAGTAATACAGAAAAGAAAAATAATGCAATCAACTATAATCATATCTCAAACATCAGCATTTAAGAATTCAACTTTTCACTGAAAGTCTTTTTTTAATAATGTAGGATTTTCCCCTACAAACTTAAGAACAGAATTTTAATTTTCCTAATAGGTAGTGTATAAACTGCTGATTAACCTAGAATACCGAATTGTTTGCTACATGAATTGCATTGTCTTTCAAAAAGATATTATAAATTTCAAACGAAAATTTCAATCATTTAAAAAACAGAACAAATTGAAGCAGTATTCTCAAAATATACTTGATAAAAACCTCAGGCTTTCTGCTATATCCCCATCCCTAAAAAGCTGTATTTTTTTAAATCTGTCTAAATTTTTCTTGTTCCTTTTTTCTTTGTGGTACTGGGACTCTACTGGGACCATGATTCTCCTACCTCCATCTCCCAAGTATAGCTGGGATTACAGGTGTGGTCACCACACCTGGCTTGATTTTAAGATAGGATCACACTGAAATTTCACACGGGCTGACCTTGCACCATGATCTTATCTCAGACTCCCAAACAGCTAAGATTACTGATGTGGGCCACAACCCCAGTCTAAAATTTTTTATTCTTTTGAAAGGAAAGTTTATGTTCCTGAAGTTCTGGCTGTAAGCACAATGGTGAATTTACTTATGCATTTTATAACATTCAATTTTAAAAATCCCTTGAAATGTCACTTACACTTAGCAATACTTTATCGAAACTTTCACCATTTCTAAGACTCAAACTAGAGCATTTTCTGAGAATTGTTCATTCTCAAATCCATAAAAGCAGAATAACTAGACCCTTCAGGGGTACTCAAAAAATATTTACTGATGTGAATTTATGATTTTAAATACAATTTAACATTGGGGATTGAATTTGGACTCAAAATTTTATGGTATTTTAATAACGCAAACATGTATTCATTAGCTACACAAAGCCAAATAACCCTTTACTATAGCCAAAGCTCAACGTCATTGTAGCAGACAGTGAGACTCCAAGTTTCTATTCTTCCTTCAAAATGCTTTTCTTTTATTTTCTTAATAGCAATGTTGAATACTTTATCTGTCACCTGCCCGTAGAAATGAAGCAAAGAAATGAACAAAGAGTGAAGAGCAAAAAGAAGTAGGGCACTTAGATAACTTATAAACTAAAAGACAGGGAAAAATAATGAAATAAAAGATCAAGATCTTAAAAGATCCCTTGGCACCACTGTGAAAACCTTCCCAATTCTGGACATATTAACTGGGTATATAATTGGGAATTAGGAATACAATGATATTAAAAACAGTCGAAAAAAACAACCACGGCCATGTTTAGTAGTAATAACACATTAGCAACAAACAAAAAACTGAGATTTAAGCCCAAGTGATCATATATTAGCTGTAAGACCTAGGAAAACCTGGGCAGAGCACTTTATCTCTATAACAAACAGTTTCTCCATTCATAAAACCAAAAATAATAAAATCTACCCTAATTATACTTGGTTTTCTTGAGACTCAAATGAAGTAATATATGTTGGAAGTATTTTGGAAACTATTAAAATTATTTTTAAAAGCTTAGAAATCATTCAGAAACTTAAAGGAAATATATTTATTTTAACGAGACACAGGGTAGCTCATTTTCTGTTTTTAAATGTGGGTATTTTTATAAATACTTTTTAGTTTGTGTCATTTTTCACAGCTTGAAGATTCAGTTTAATACTATCCAGTTCTACTTACTACAGAAATCTATTTCTACTGCCCTTTTTTATAATCTTTTATTCATAAAAGAACAAGAAAATTTTCTTGTCTAAAACTCTAGTTAAACAATAATTTTAAGGTAGTTAAGTAACCTCTTATCTAATTTCAAAGAATACTCAATATTGTTAGCTAACTTATGCTTGCATACTAATTTATAATGATCTAAAAGTAAATCACTTAAATCAAGGTGCTGCAATTTTTGTGTCTCCTGAAAAGGTGGAATATTAGTGTGACCAACTTACCTGATGAGGAAAATTCACCTTTATAAGTGAAAGGTGAAAGCACTAGTCAATTATCAGAGCAAAATTTCTCTTCGTATACTCTACTACTAGTATACGAATGTTCTTTGAAAATGTGAAATTACTAAAGGAAGTCATTAATGTATGTATAGTCCATAATATTTTCTATAAAGACAAATTGAGAAATGGCTAACTTCTTTATTCAACAGAGATGTTCTAAAAAAGAGCAAACTAGAAACACAAGGATAGAAAAACAGAAAAAAAACTGTTCACTGGGATTTATGAATATGTTTAAAAAAAAAAAAAACTCTGTATACTCACAAAGGAAATCCATCCATCACTAACAACTATATGTAACCCAAATAACTGACACTATGTTTTTACAAAAATGAGAATTTTATAATTCTTATTTCTTACCTTATATATGTACACTAAGGCCAGAATGACAGCCAATCAAGCATAATATCACTTTTATGGAACTTCTTCACAAATTTTACTTGTGAAAATATATTTCAATTATTATATTACATCAATGGCTTTTTTTTTTTATGGTGTTGGGCTCAAACCCAGGGCCATGCATATGCAAGGAAAACACTCTATTAATGACCTACATCTCCAGCCCACAGAGAACTAATTTTTGTGAAATAATTTGTCTTATAAAATAATCCTGCCCACTCTGTTAACTGTGTTGTTTTATGATTTATTAAAGGTTTATATCATTTAAAAAAACATAACCTTGATAAAACAGTGGAAATACATGTTTATTTGTTCATACCTTTCTCTGAAAGGTATTCCTAATAGAGAAGTAGTTTATAAATTGCAGTGTTTGAGAAACCCTTCCTATTTCATAGGGATTAGAGAGAAGGGGAAAACAGTGCCCAGTAAGCAGTATGTGCTATTACACCATTGTAGTTCAAATATTCAGAAATACATGCTAAAATATGTTTAAGAAACAAAATGTGGAGGCAAAAGCCCAAACAAATACCTAATATACTACAACTTGATCAAAGGCAAGAATTTCCTTATTCTTTGGCTTTTGTTTTAAAATCAGTGTATTTGAACCACTCTATTGCTCTAGGAGACCCACTAATGAAGTACTACACTACAATATAAACATTTATTTATAATTAATTTACATGGTTTTCCAAATACTTTTTTTCCTCTATATTATACTTCCTACCTTGAATTACTAGTTAAGATTTCACTGCTAAAACTAAATAAAACTAAGCCAGTTACCAGAATATACATGTGTTCTAATGTATAAAATTAATTTTCATTTAAATTTAGCATCTCAATAAAGGTATAGAATAAATAATTCCTTACTGCTGGAAATTTAAATTCAAAATGTATGAACCAGTTTTATAATGGATTTCCTTTGTGATATGCAGACTACCTTTGTCAAAACGTCCCCAAATCTTTAACAGGTATAAAACAAAATTGATATAATTACCATGTTAAAATAAGATCGAATTTTGACTCCTCTTGCTAGGTCCCACACTATCACATTTCCATCGTGACCAGCAGAAAAGAGAACTCTAGGATCGAATGGATGTGGCTCAAGAACAAATACTTCGTCTTCATGACCCTGAAATATTTTTGAAGTGTCAAAGGGCTTATAAATATTAAAAAGGAAAATAAAGCTTAATTAAACACCAACATGGTGGAATTCCTAAAAGTTACATTAAGAATTATTATAAAAATTTTACACTTCATTAATGAGTAAATGGCTTTTCAAATAGCATTGCTCAGGGAGTTGCTATCATTTAGTTTAACATGAATAGTATTAATGCATCCCTACGTACCAAAACACAGCAAGTATTTACAACATATTTCAAGTCAAACTTGTTTAACTGCATTTTTAAATTATTTCCAATCACCCACAGAGCCCTTTACCCTAGACAGCAGAGTTTTTAGCTAATGAAAAGACTAGTTAGCTTCAGTTAAACCAAAAAGAAAGTGTATTTTTTCTCACCATCAGGACATGAATAAGTTGACCAGTGTAAGAATTCCAAACTTTCAGAGTCATGTTATTAACTGCAGTTATAACTGTGTTGTCATGTCGATCCCAAGCTACCATAGTTACTTTCATTTTTGTGATTTTATCTTCTATTCCTTGAAGATTTTGGCTGAAAGTGAGACAGCATTTTTTTATACTGACTGTTAAAAATGCAAGTAAGACAAATATGAAGAGGCACTTTTCTCGTCATTTATGTTGACATGGATAACTATCACTTTACAGTAATTAAGAATACTGTGAATCAACACAGAATGATGGCAAAAAATCACTGCACTGAGTCAGGAAATCCAGGATGCCCATGAATCTAGCACTATTAAGCCATTAGGAACAGATAACCTAGTGTAACTACCACTGCTGTAACTATCTGTGTCTAAAAACTCTGCACCAATACGCTTACACTCTACCCTCTACTGTTGCTGTCATGCCCTCCTGACTGCTGCACTCTTCCATTTAAGACAACTATACCCAAAAACAAAGAGAGAAAAATGTTAAAATACTAAAACCAAAACAACAGTTGCAACATTTAATGTAATTTATCTTGGCTGCAGAAACCATTAGGTATAAGATATCATCCTTCTGGGAGAGATGGAACATTATAATATGCTCTGGTTTCTGGAAAAAAAAAAGTTAAAAAATTACAACTATTATTTATAGTGCTATTATCATCCCCTTAACAAAACTGAATTAAACAAAAACATCAACAAAGCAGGTCTTCTCATATATACCAATGAAATAACTGATAAAATCAAATCAACACTATTCATCTCCAATAGCACTTCTAATTATTGTGCAAAAGTAATCATTTTAAAAAGGTACACAATTTTACAAACAAAAGCTACTGCAATATAACATATTAAATAATCATTATAATATTTCAAATTTCATTTCTTACCCTGCTGGACGAGTAGCCATATCCAACAAAATGCTCTTCCATTCTCTTCGTTTAAATTGCCAAATACGTGCTGTTCCATCACGACTACCACTTACAAACCTATATTAAAAGGAATCCAGTCCCCCAAAGAAAAAAAAAAAAATCACACATGTTTTATCAAAATGTACTTTTCCCAGAACTACTTTTAAAAAGACAGTACTTATCTTTATTTAGGCCACATTCCAATACAATAGAAAATACTCTCTCAGCTACTCTATAAATCTAAGACTCCTGAAACTATATGGGCTTTTAAAATTTTATATACAAATATTTTAACTTTGATACACAGGAAAGATAATGATTTTTAAAAATTCTTACCATTAAAAACATTTAAATAAATTAACATTATTGCAAATAAGATAAAAATACATGTGTTTATATGTACAGGAAAGCTATATTCACTGTTCAAGATCTTTATAGTGGTAACTAATTGCTATATAAAGACTGACTACTAGAATTATCTTTGTTTCACAATTTTAACACTGTAATTAAATTAGACAAATACAAATATTTTACCTGTTACTAGTGTTGGAAAACTGGATACTGTCAACTTTGTCCTATATATAAATAGAAAAAAAAGCAGAACTTGAATGCAAACTGTTAGGCTCATTTAATTTATACTCATCTAATTACTTTTACCAAGACTTACAGTATGAAACTCCAATTCTGATATTTTCTCTGGCTGACCAGATCCAAAAAAGTAAACTCTAATAATATGGTCTGTGCTTCCTGTGGCCAGAAACATTCCACCTATGAAGAATAGCAGCACACTATGAGTAAAATAAAGTGGAGTATCACTGAAAATTAAGTACAATTAAGCAATATTATAATATAGTAACAAAAATTTATCTCCAAACCATTCATATTTATCCTAAATATATAATACATCTAATTATAACTTTTAAAAGCTTGCTATTATAGCTTTGACTATATATTCCATATTTACAGAAGTAAAGCTTTGTTCTAAAAATAGTTTAACTTAGTGATCATATAATCTTACCATGTTTAAATTATTTAAATTATTTAAACATGGTAAGATTTAAGGTAGATATTCTTCTACATTATTTTCCCATCTATCAAAATTCTATCAAAACTTTTAAGCCCCAATTCCCTCAGTAACTTGTCTTTACAAATTTAGCAATCAAATTAGGCTGCTCTCCTCTAACCTAATTTAAGACTTTGTTTGTAGCACCTACATTCTTACTTTGCATTATTTATTTATATATTTAATTTTATTTTCTTCCAGAACAATACTTTCCCTTAGTGTCAAGTTCTTGCATATAATGAAATATTACACACTTTTGTAAATGATCTACTTACTAGACCATTAAAGACCTCAATTTATCTTTAAAAAAACAGCATAAACTAGAGTATTCCAAGTATAGGTAAAGGGCCTATGTTTGTGTTTTTGTTGGAAGAAATGTCTTCATGGCAGCAGCACTGGAAATCTAGATTTAGAAATGAAAGATTTTTGGCAAAACACAATCACTTCAGTTTACTATCCCTTATCTCAAATAATGCTGCAATTCACAATTATGAAACGAATGGATAAAGAAAACTGAAAATAAAGCTACCTTTAGAAACAGGTATTGGGAGCATCACATACTGGATTGGATTTATTCATGTTTATATTTTCTTATCAATTCACTTCAAATGCTCAGATGATAACATAATTCAGAATGCTGCTGCACAAATTTAATGCATAGTTGCTATTATGAGCCTTGCTATACCGCTACTTTTTAAAGTGTAAATAAGAATAATTGAGTCAAATATTTAGAAATATCAAATTTATTTTTCTTCACCACAGAGTACCTCCAAGAGCCATAAAATCACAATCAAAATTTTAAAAACCTACTTTTAATGAGACAACTATGTAATAACTCATTCTTCAATAAAGTCAACTTTGAAAGTATTCTCTACTATTAGAGCAGCATGGTCTTCTTAAAGTATCACTCATGTCATGACAACAGATTAAACTCCAGCAAAGTTGAAATATCTGAGTCAAATTCTCATTCTTGCTTACTTATTAACTCCAGCATATGAAGAGACTGTGATTCATAATACTATGATAAGATATTTTACAAAAATTTATGTACTCCATTGTAAGTTTTCTAATGTACAACTTTAAGACAATTAGAGGTACAGAAGGTCTCACCAGCACTAAAAGAAGAACAGATCATTTGAACTCCAGGCCGAGGGCGCTCTGTAAACTTTGTAGGTCTTGGACTATAATACAAAAAATAAACAATTAAAAATATCCTAAAGAGACCAGGAGCACCAGAAATAAGCTGTTTCAAAAAATAATCACAGAAGGACAAGTTTAAATAAGCAACAGATGGCTCCCTTCCTAAAAACAATTTCAAAATCATGTGTCATGATCAGCAGACCTAAATTCTAGAGAAAGATTTTGTAGGATCTCTCAATTACACAACAGATCACACATAGAACAATCCTAAAGCCACCATCACAGCAGATATTATATATTCTAAAACTCACTTCTAAACAAATCTAAAAAGTTTTCAGTTTTTCATACAGTACAACATACAAATATTTAAAGAAATAAGTCATTTATAAACATGAACACACTAGCAAAATAGGTGTTAACCTCTGTGGCTTATGCCTATTATCAATAATTAACTTTTTCAGTATTAGATACTATTAAGCTTCTCCTTTTAGTTTATCTTCTAATCAAACACGATAAAATATTCTTCCAAAGAGTAAAACCCTTATGATTATCCTTGTGGAAATTTTAAGGGTGAACTCTTGTGATCTATGGAAAATGAGTTATACTAAAATATATTTATTTTAATTGTAGAACTGTTATAGTTTTAAATTAATACTTTTGGCATTAAATGTTTAATGTTATAATCAACTACACTGAAAACAGAAAATTACATTATACATTTCAGTCATGACAATACCTCTAATGTATATAACAATGTGTATACAATGTTCCAATACACTGATCATATTTGAAGCCCTACTTACTGTACATTTTGACACAGTTTTTATTGTAGAATGAAAATGTAAAAATAACTAAAGCTGTAACCCTAAGTGCACTGCATAACTTTCACAATCCATTGCACTAAAAGATAAAGTAGCTTTCAGTTTGGGGATTATTTAGGGGGAAATGCACAGATAAAATATTTCTATTATACATTCTGAGCAGTGAGAATAGTCTTTTTTACTAATACAGAATGTACCACAAATTATTTGCCAAATTTAAAAGAAAACAATACATTTGTAAATAAACTTTTAAATAGATATTTTCTTAATATTCATGGACTTTAATATAATGAGTGTAAGAGAAACAAATTAAAGACAAAGGTTTAATAAAGCATCCTTAAAATTCAATCTTTAGTCAGAGCAAATGTAAAATGATTATAACTTACCAAAATTAAACTGAAATTGTGAAGACAACTAAATGTGCTAGTTTCATATAACCTTACAGCTCTACACTTTGTTTAACTTTTGGCACTATTGCTCATAAGTGCCAAACAACTGAATATGCAAATAATCCTACAAACAACCATTTTAAAGTTATACTTTCAAGGAGAAAAAATAAGCAGAGTTAAAAAAAGATTCGTCTATGCATATTTAAGGAAATATTTTAAAAGAGGGGTTTCAACTCAGACTTCCAGAGTTCAAATTTTCAGTTCTGCCAAGTATTGGGTGTGTGATATTAGGCAAGTTAATGTTTTTAATTCAAATCTCTTCTGAAAAGTGAGAGTAACAAAAATGATCTGAGTTGCTAGAAGAATTAAATAAGTTTAATTCATGAAAAATGCTAAATTCAGTACCCAACATTCAATAAATAGCATTACTAGTAGTATATTAATTACATTCAACAAGTTCTAGACAGTCCATTAACGAGTAGATCTCTCTTATGTATATGGAAAAACACACACTTCTCAAGGGTCTAGAAACATGTAATTCTAATATACTTAGCAATGTAAACGTCAAGAAGCACAAACAAGGTGAGAATTAAATTTCATGAACGTTTTTTCTGTTCCAATCCTAATTTGAACATTGCTAATCACTTCTACTCTAAGAAAATAAGACGGGTGGGGGATGGTAATCGGGGGTAAAAATGCTCAGAGAAAAATAACAACTAGCAGTTGTTACTACTGTCCACACCCAACAATAAAATACTTCAACTTTTACCTAAATGTCTATAAAAGCCATAAATATTAAGAATGCAATTAAGGTGAAATCAACTTATTTTATCTTTTTTGTTTTTTTGGTGGTATCAGGGATTGAACCCAGGGTCTTCTGATTGAGTGGAAAGCACAATACTTACCACTTGAGTTATGCCCTCAGCCCAAAAACCTATGCATTTTTATTATAATCTTTTCTTCAAATAAAGTATGCTTTTATTATTATTGTGTTACTTAAGCTTCCATGGCCAAAAGAACCACTGTGCAAACATATTCATAAACATGAAATTGAAGGCACATGTCTTATACTGGAAACAATTAATTAAACATCACTTTTAAAATAATAGAGGTGTACATATATTATTTTATTAAATAAGTTGGGTTGACAATTTATAAATAGGTAAGTACTGAGGTGTATCTTCTAATCTGAATAACTTCCTAGCCTAAGATTGAAAAAAATGACTATACTGTGAAGTCACTGAATATACCACCTCCCTGTTTAAAGATAACCTGTGGAGCAAATACAGCACTCCCTTTCTTTGCTACATCTACTTAAGTGGCATGGTATAGGTAAATAAAGCACAGGACCAAAGAGTAGGAAGCACTATAATCCTGGTCTTGACAAATTTTTAAAACTTGTTGTAGCTATGGGGAAGGCCATTTAACCTTTATCTCAGTGTCCTTAATCAAAAGAAAACTATCCAGCCAACTTGTTTTGATAAACAAGATTTTAATATTGGTGAAAGCACAAATGAATAATGCTATTATGGGATGTGTGCATCTAGCCACCTTCATATAGAGTTTAATGAAACTTTTCAATATACAAACAATAAAATATTTGTAGATTAAGTAACATAAATAAAATTAAAGAACAGCATGAGTAACTCCAGTATATTCTTAGCACCAAAAAGAGCTATTGAGACAAAATCGTACATAATAAGGAATAACAACAAAGGAAGTATTTCTGAAGGAATAAATTAGGGCCAGAACAGAGAGAAAAAACCCAACATACAAGTTAATATGAAAAGATTTTCTTTGAAACATGAAAAAGAGGAAACAAAAATGAAAGAGTTAAGAATTTATATTTTTACACAAGAAAAAACGAATTTAATCCTTTTGTTGACTATTTTTGCAATTTCAACCACTAAACACATTTATTTGATGGAATAAAATAGCAACTAACTTTATTTTAAGGGTTCCAGAATCCCACAGCCAAAAACAAATAGTGCCATCTGCTCCAGTAGAAGACAGATATCTCTTTGAGCCACTACACAATGGTGAGAACTGAAAAATAAGAACAGAAACAAAATATAAATATATATATATATATATGTACACATCAGTATATTTACATATTAGTATATGTATATATGCATATACATACACACATTATTTACAAGAGGAATGATACAGTCCAAATAATAAAACCTACTTTTACCATACTAACAACTAGCAACAACAGAAAACACTCAGAATAGACCAAGATCATAACTACCATGCTATTCAATCTATATAATTTATAAAGAAAGCACAAATACATCTTTTTTTATGTTTTAGTGAGCCTTATATACTGGATTATAACAGTGACTTACTTTAAATTATAACCAGAAAGTTTTTAAGTGGTGTTAAAGCCAATCACCTGTAGTGATGTAATAGATGCACTGTGCCCCTGAAGAACAGCTAAAGGTGCACAAGTTCGAAGACACCAGACACGGATCATTTTATCACAACTTCCAGCTGCTATCATGGTATTCTCATAGTTCACAGCCATGTCTGATATCTCAGCAGCATGTCCTCTTAAAGTAGCTAATAATCTCCCATCATCTGTTGCCCAGATTTTCACAAGACAGTCATCAGAACCCTAAAGATAAAATGGATGTTAGTAGAAGTAATTCTATAAATTTTAATTCACATTCTTAACATGGTTAAGATGTGTTACATCTACTTCCCAACAATTGTATCATTAAGGACGGAAAGTAATAAAATATTTTTGTTAGGAATTTTCTTGTTCATAAAGCTCTGTATTAAATTAAATCATTCACTTACTTATGATGAACAACTGTGTGCCCACCAGCAAACAAAAGAATAAGATGTTGGTAGTACTAATTAACATGGCTCCCTACCTATCATTCAACATAACCTCTACCCACAATTGTTTTTTGTGGTACTGACGTCTGAACTTAAAAACCTTGCACTTGCTAGGCAGGTGCTCTACCACTTCAACTACACTCCCTAGTCCTTTTTGCTTTAGCTGTTTTTCCGATAGGGTCTTGTGTTTGTTTGGTTTGTTGGTTGTTTTTGCTCAGGCCAACCTGGATCAGAATCTTCCTATTTACACTTCCCACATATCTGGGATTACTGATGCACATGCCACCATACCCAGTTTTTTTTGTTTGTTTGCTGAGACAGGGTCTCGTTAACTTTTTGCCCAGGCTGGCCTCAAATTGTAGTCCACCTGATATCTGTCTCCCAAGTAGCTGGGATTACAGGAGTGATGGTATACATCTACAATCTCAGCTACTCCAGAGGCAGATTATCAGGAGGATATTGGTTCTAGGCCACTCCATGCAAAAAGTAGTGAGACCCCATCTCAACAAATAAGTCACTTGCCTGTATTCCCAGCTATGTGGGAGGTGTAGGTAGGGGGATCACAGTCTGAGGCTGGCCCTGGGAAAAAAGGGAAATTTTATCTAAAAAATAACTGAAAAAAAAAAAAGACTGGGCAAGTGGCTAAAGTGGTAGAACATGTGGCTGCTTCTATTAAGCTCGAGGCCCTGAGCTCAAACCAAATACAAAATAATATTAATAAAAATAAATAAATAAACCTCTGAACTAATAACACAAAACCATAATTACAAAACAAATATATACTGGTAACTGATGCTATATAAAGCTAAAAGTATGCTCACTTTGGAGCAACTTCTCCTGGAAAGCTGAAAACACAGTAACTATGACTTTCCTATCAATGATCTTCAGCTAAAAACATTACATGACATCAACTAAAACCATTTATCAGGGGAAAAAAATTAATGCTATCTGCATGAAGTCAGAAGATATAAATTACTTGTTTGCTACAGTAACAAATTCAGGAAGAAATTGTTTAGGACAGTTTCCCTTTAATACACATGTTTGGAAATAAAACATTCTAATTTCATATAGCTAAAGCAGAGATTAGAATCTCCAGGCTTTATATTTATGTTGAATATTTAGAAAAGCAGAAATAGTGTCACTGACTCCATACAGTTATCTACAAAGTTCAGAACTTATCAATACTTTTACCATATTTTCTAATCTTTAACATAAAGTTAAAATAAGAAACACATATTTGCAAAATTACGAATGTTCTGTAGTACGTAGTTTTACTAAGGTATCATGTTAAAATTCTTTATGATTTTCCAATCTTAACTCCATTTTTCCCCCTTAAAGTAAAACAAAACAACAACAAAAAGCTTTACATCTGAGAACCTACAGGGCAAATGATTCATAAGTTTACTACCTCATTCTGCAATAGACATAGGTAAGACATAAATGATCACACAGCACTATCAGAATGTTAAATGATGTTTATCAAATCAAACTGTCAACATTGCCAAAAACACTCCCCAGTTAGCCACAAAACCAGTTCTTCTGAATGAACATTCGGGCAAATTAGGTAGTTACCAACCAGCAAAAGGACTAGTAATAAAACTTGGCTTTGATAAACCACCCACATTAAAATCTGGTATTTCTATCACATATACTTAGTTTCAAGTTCTTTATCTACAAAATAGATTAAACTGGTTGATCTCTGCCCCTTTCAATGTTGGTGATTTGTGTGCATGGACAGAATCCTATGCTTGAAGAGACAATATAGTAAAGCAGCATACAGCAAAGACTCTAGAGTTAAATTTTCTGACTTCATGACCCACATAACCACTCTCTAGTTGTGTAACTGTGGACATTTTACATTATGTGGTATTTTTCTCATCTCTGCCTTTGTCATAAGGTTTTTCAAGAGAGTACATGAGCCAAGTAATGTGAAGAGCTTAAACAGTGCCTGGCAATCCTAAAAGTTATTTATGAATTATTGACTATCTCCAACATTTTGGCAGTAGTATTCCTATTTTAATAATACTCTTATCTTAAAAAGAACAAATTATCTACCAACTAGAGACAAGAGTATGATCAAAAGCATGAAAATACAAAACAACATGAGTAATTCAGGAAAGTGAAAGTAGTCTGTAGACTAACTGACAGTGTGAAGTAAAGGCAGGAGGATGACGAATATGGTATGTAATGAAGATCAATGAAATCAAGTGAGCACCAGGATCTGATTTAAATTTCCAAAGACCATCCTGTCATCAGTATGATTCAGGCAACAAGAGATCCATTCAAAATTGGAAAACAGCACATAAAGGAAAGAGACAATGAGTGGTAAAACAGTTATTAGAGCAGAAGAGATGGTTACTAGCAATTGTAAAGCAAATTAGAAAAAAACTAGATAACTGCAACCTTAGCATGCATAAATAAATATAAATAAGTAAAACAAATATTTGAGCACTGTTTTCTGAAAGAGGGAGCTAAAGGGGAACAAAAGAATGAACAAAAAAAGTGAAGAAAGTTTGTAAACACAGTGGAATAAAAGCAACAAGAGGAAAAATGGGCAAGGGTGTGGCTCAGATGGTAGAGCACCTGCCTAGCAAGTGTGAGGTCCTGAGTTCAAACCCCAGTACCACCATAAAAAGATAAAAGGAGGAAAAAATTCTGAAAGCAACAGTGGAAAAACCTGCTAAATTTAGAAAGAATGATTTTAGAGAAACTTCAGCTAGTAGTTTTTTCAGCAAAGCTTCAACGCTCAGGGAAAAACAAGTAGTCATCTTCTTCTCCCTACCTCAAGAACAGCTAGATATTGTGAGGGTTGGGAAATGGCAAAATGACAAAAAATTGCAAGTGAAAATAACAAGAAATTAAACTGGGAAGGTTTTACCTGAGGAAGGTGATAAGAGGGTTTTATAAGCCAATTAAGGAACTTGAATTTAACCTAGTAAGGCAGCTACTAGAGAATTTTAAGTAGACAAGACAAGGTCACTCTATTTTAGCCAGACTCTACTATGAGGAATAGATCTGAAACCACAAGAGGAGATCTAGGGTAGCGAAAGAAAGCTGGGTGTTACCAGCTAGCTTATAAGTAGTTGAAACAATGACAGAAGATAAGATTGCCACAACTATGATAAAAAAAAAATTGGGGTGGCTACAAAATTTAATTTTTTGAAATTCATTTTTAGTCAAATTATAATATACTAGTGTTTAATCTCAAGCAAACTAAGAGATGAGTGGATCACTAGTTTCACTTTTTAATAAAAATTGTCATTATTGCTGTGAAACAATGCTTATTAGCATGCTATCATATGTCATTTGACATCAAACCTAGTTTAAACTGAAAAAAAAAAAATAACAAAAAGAAAATCTGTGTAGCTTTTAGCTTTCTTATATCTCCCAAAAAGGAGACATGAAATTTGCAGTATTTTTTTATGTCCAGGTACCTTGTCAATAAAAAAGGACAAAGACAAAGAAGTTGAAAGAATTCATCTTTATACTAAAAATACGAGTAGGTATTACTTGTGAGAGAAGTCATGGTGAGAAACGATAGACTTTAACATAACTCAGATTAGACAAAACTGAAGAATTTGTTGCTTGAGGTACCTTACAAATTTGCTGATTCCACTGCTACACCTGGAAAAGCCACACACAATGAAATTTTTTAAATGTGCCTTTAAAATGGACATTTGTTCTGAAATAACTATTTCTTCTAATATTTTTTAATACAGTATAGAGGTGATGGTACCAAAGATAATTCTTTCCAACATGCATTTAAATCTCTTACTGAAGATAATTCCTACTTTTTTGTCTCTCTTGAAAAAGAGTTCAAATTTTATTAATCCTTTTGGAAATGGCAGTGTTTCTTCAAAACAAAAGGATTGAGAGAAAAAATGGGATAAATACAAGCATTCTTCATAGATTAAGTCTAGAGGATGTCTGATAATTCATCTGGCTTTGCTATTCTGATGAAGAAAATTTCTTTGCAGATCTCTGACAAGGCTTTTAATTTTGTAATGCATTAAATTTTCTGATTTTCCCAAAAATCCAGACAACTACGGCCTATCTACAACACAAACTTTCATGGAACAACTTCAAACACAGGGCCTCAAATCACCTAAATTTGATGCAAAAATCAAAATAGAACCTAAAGTTGATGCTCCAAAATTTAACAATTTAATTAGTTCCTGGAAGGAAAGTTTTAGAAGACTTACTTGAACTATTTAAACAAAACTAAGTTTCAGACCAACTTGATAGAGTTCTTTTTAGTATGGCTTATTCAGAAATGTGAAATGTTAAATAATGAGGAAAATACTTTACAGGATGTAGATGTAAACGACAAAGAATGGATGACTTTCCTACAAGCAGAAAACTGTATTCATTTTGAAACAGGTTACTTTTGCTCAAATAACCTTAAAATTAAAATGTAGATTGGACAATCTTCCCCTGAAAAAGAGAAGGGTTCAATCATACAGTCCAATCAAAGATTACTATTTTGACATAAAAACAAAATCAATTATGTGATTTTTTTAACTTAAAATATTTCAGGGAATTTGGCATTCATTGAAAGCCTGTTACCTGGCAGAGTAAAGAAAGAGAATTCTAATTTCTCTTGCTGTTACTACGTACTTTAGTGATCTCACTTCTGATTGACATTAGAAGAAATAGAAAGGAAAGCCAAAGATGTCATTTATATTGTTATGAATAATTTAACTCCATTTTCTTATTCAAGCTAAGAAGTTTGCTCTTCAAGTAGAACTAAAAGTTGCTTGCAATTTAATTTTG